TCTCCTGGCCAGCTTATGGGCTTTTGCGTTTGCTTAGATCTGTATGCCACTCCAGGACACCATCCTGGATTATTATTCAACTCTGCACTTGTAATTCCCGGCGCTTGACTGGCAAAGATATCCTGTTCTGTGTATTGCAGAGGCTTTGGGGGAAGCGCTGTGTCTGGACCAGAGTGCCAGAGGGGGAGCCTGACTCACTGGTCAGATACACCTTCTGGGTGAAGCGGCACCCCTCCCCGCCTCAGTCTGCTCTGCCTGGGCTTTGCTCATGGTCGGACCAGACCCATTGAAATGCACCTGGTACCTCAGTTGGAGCTAGGAGATCTCTGGATTTCTGCATCTCTCTTGCTGGGTGTTGTGTGCCAGAGTTGCATCTATTCGGTCATCTTGAGTGCTGGACAGCTAATTTTAAGGGTCAGGAAGACGATAATAATTTCTTGCCCAAAAACTCAAAGACCATCATTTGGCAAACATTTATTGACCACACCTTAAATGTCAATAGGAAATGTTTTTTAAAAGATTGATAAAGTAGAAACATATTGGATTTAACAATTGGAGCACATATCTGGAAATCAGAACATCAGAGGTACAAACACAAGAAACACCATTTACTAAACACCTAGGTATGACAGCTACTTTGCATATGGTAAAGTAACTCTGCAAAGCTTGGCTCAACCTCAGGCCAACTTTACAAGGCAGGATTTCTAACATCCCCAAGGTCATATACTAGCTCTCGTTCATCTATTCCCAGGCCCCAGAATAGTGTCTGAGTGTCTGGCAAACTCAATATTTACTTCTTAAATCAACAAAGTAGTCCATTTTTTGCAAATGAAGAACTACTGAGGCTCCCAGTAGTTAAGCAGCTAGAAAAGCCTGGGCTCAAACCATAATCTTAAAACAAACTTCTAAATAAATAGGAGACCACACAATTGGAAACATATGTAAACCAAAACGAAAAAAAAGAAAATTTGTTTTCACTTGTTTTTCTGTGAAATTATGAGACAATAACTGGTATATTACTTGTTTACATTGAGCATAATAGTGTTCAACCTTATTGAAATAATAATAGCTTTTGATTTACAGTTTTCTAGGGGCTAATTTCTGTACTAAGTGCTTTACGTACATTCTCTCACTTAATCCTCATAATATTATTATCATCCCCATTTTATAGAAAAGAGAACTAAGTCTTACGGAAGTAAAGTAACTTAAATAGCAGAACCAGGATTCAAATCCAGGCAAGAATACTACCTCGGAAACCCAACTTTTTAATCAATACACTTGTTACATGTAAATGGCAGTGGAGAGAAGGCAAAAAACAAAAACAAACAACAACAACAAAAACAGGTGTATCAGTGAGTAAAGCTACTCTTCTCTAAAGGCAAAATAAGCTGATAAGAATAAAGTCCTTGCTGAGCACAGTGGTTCATACCCATAATCCCAGCACTTTGGGAGGCTGAGGTGGGTGGATCACTTGAGGTCAGGAGTTCGAGACCAGCCTGGCAAGCATGATGAAACTTCATCTCTACTAAAAATATGAAAATCAGCTGGGTGTGGTGGTGAGCACCTGTAATCCCTGCTACTTGGGAGGCTGAGGCAGAAGAATTGTTTGAACCTGGAAGGCAGACATTGCAGTGAGCCGAGATCACATCACTGCTCTCCAGCCTGGCTTACACAACAAGACTCTGTCTCAAAAAATAAAAATAACAAATAAAGTACTTATTGTTGTAATCAAGGCTGTAAGTGCTCCCCCCCCCCAAAAAAAAAAAAACAGAACACACATGAGCTAGCTTAAATGAAAGAGAAATTAATCATTTTTATAGAATACCATAATGATAGTGGGGGGGGTGGTCATAAAGGTAGAAGCCAAAATAAGCAATAATACTAATAACTAACAATTAAATGTCCCTTTTCTGTGCCAGGTCCTGTTCTAAGCACTTTACTCATATTAACTAATTTAACCCCAACAACAGCCCTGTAAACATAGCTGTAACCTATATTACAGGTAAGAAAACAGCTTCCAAAAGTTAACTTGCCCAAACTCAAAAAAGTAGAAAGCTTTCTTACACACCGACATCTCTATTCCACAACCAAAACCTAACAGGCTCAGTCCCAGGCTGTATTTTTGCTCCGCTTTCATCAGGAGTCCACCCTGGTCGAGCACCTCAGAATAGGAAAGAGACAAAATCAAATGGACAAGTGCCTGAGAAGCAGAGATTTAAAGCTCATCCATTCATCCATGAGCACATTCATTCACAAGTACTTATTCATCCATTCACGAGCACCTGTTTCATAGCAAACCCTGTACGCAGAGTAGATTCTAAATGTTTATCAGGCCAGGCACAGTGGCTCATGCCTCCAACTACAGCACTTTGACAGGCCAAGACGGGAGGATCACTTCAGGCCAGGAGGTCGAGGCTGCAATGAGCCAAGATCACACCACTGCATTCCAGCATGAGTGACAGAGGGGGAGAGAGAAAGCGAGAGAGAGCACGAGAACAAGAGCATGAGAGTGAAAGAGAGGAAGGAAAGAAGGAAGAAAGGGAGGGAGGGAGGAAAGGAAGAAAGAAAGAAACTCAGAAAAATATTTGCATTATATGGGAACCAAAGGGTTAATCAGCTCTTTCAAAAACACAGGAAAAGAACAGTCCAGTTGTAAAAGATGCAAAAGATATATAAACAGACAATTCACAGAAATCAAATGACCCTAACAAAATGTTATTTCTTATTTCACTAAATAATTGCAAATTAAAATAATAAAATGGTATTGTGTATCTGTCTTATACAGATTTAAAAACCTCTCACTCCCAGGGTTAGCAAGGGCATACCTTGTTATAAGAGTATTAACTATAAAAACTATATTAGCATGTATATCTACTATGTACCCATAAAAATTAAAAATAAAAAATACATTAGCTTTTCTGGAGAACAACCTGGCAATACAAGTAAAAATAAATAATGTAGGTCAGGCACAGGGGCTTATGCCTGTAATCACAGTATTTTGGGAGGCCAAGGTAAAAGGACTGCTTAAGCCCAAGAGTTTGAGATGAGCCTGAGCAACATAGAGAGACCCTGTCTCTACAAAAAGTAAAAGAAAATTAGCCGGGTATGGTAGTATGCATCTGTAGTTCTAAGTACTCGGGAGGCTGACGTGAGAGGATTGCTCAAGCCTGGGAGGTAGAGGCTGCAGTGAGCCAAGATCGCACCACTGCACTTCAGCCTGGTGACATAGTGAGACCCTGTCTCAATCAATCAATTAGCAACATACATAGACTTTGACCCAGAAAATCTACTTCTATGACTATTATCCTAGGAAGATAAAATATTTATATAGATATATAGATACATTTTATGAATAGACATATGTATAAGAATTTCACTATAGACATTCTTCAGAAATTTTAATTTACTCGCCCATTCATCCATGAGCACATTCATTCACTCCAGCCTGGGCAACAGAGTGACTGAATTTTTTATAGTTGTAAAAGAATAAGAAAAAAATACAAATCCACTGGATAAGAATACATTAAATGTATCTAATCACTAGGATACTATGTATCTGCTAAAAGAGACAAGGTAGAATTCTAACAGTACATTGTTACAAAAAAGAACATATCTGAAACAATACATTGTTCCCAAAAAAAAGCTATAGTAGTATGAATGTGTTGAAAATACTTCATATCAGAATCAACCCAGGGACATCACATGGATAATAGTGAATCCAGATTATTTTTATATTATTCCCAAAATTTCTAGACCAAATTATCCTAAGAGGCCTCCTATTTAGCTCTAAAATTCTTTAATCCTAAGAATTTTTTTTTTTTTAAGACTGTTGTCACAGGCTGGAGTACAGTAGTGTGATCACAGCTCACTGCAGCCTCAACCTTCTGGGCTCAAGCGATCATTCCACCTGAGCCTCCTGAGTGGCAGGGACCAAAGGCACATGCTACCATGCCTGGCTCATGCTTTGCTTTTTTTTTTTTTTTTTTT